TTAGCTTTGGTGCCCTCCGCTACCTTGTTTCCCAATCTAATAAAACAAAACAAAACAAAACAAAACAAAACACACACACACACACACACACACACACACACACACACACATATATATCCTAAGGTAATACTGGCTTGCTTTGAAAGCTTTACTCAGATCATACATGTTTTATTCCAATATCAAATAACTGTAGCAAATTAGATTATTCAAGGTTCTCAGAATAAAGATAACTTACTCCTTCTTTCTTGCCTTGCCAAAGCATTTTCCTTTTTTTCTCTTGTTCAGCAAATTTCATTGGATTCACAGCTGCTGGATTATAGTAGCTAGGTACAGCTATTCCGGTCTCTGCCAAAGCTTTAGCTTGCAGGGCTGCCATTTGAGCTGCCATGGCTATCTGAGGCGTTACTTGTGTTCCTGATGCCAACAGGGCAGCAACATTGAGAACAGAACCTCCAGTAGCTGCAGCTGCTGAAGAGGATATAAGTATGGGTTTTATGACATAAATCTCCTGGTTTACATCAATGCATTGTTCGTATGTAAAAATTACTTATCTGCAAACAGCAGGATTGTTTTCACCAAACACAGGGAAATGATCAAATGTTACCTTATAAATAACATTTTAGTGAACACTTATTGAGTGTGTTCACCAGACATTTCTACATGTAATCCTTATTATATACTAAAACAACATTTACTTCCTTGAGGATAAACAGAATTCTCAAATAGTTAGAAGGCATGATTTCAGTGGAAATGAACTATGGTGCGTATAGCTATAACACAATATGTAAACCTTACATTTATGAAATGTTTTCAGACATCTCATCTGACACTCATAACATACATTTAGAAATAGTTAGCAGGTATCATGCACATATAACAGATGCTGAAGCCAACTTCTATAAAGGATAAGTGCCAGGCCTGGTATTCCCACTGTGTTTGAGTCAGTCTCTGTAAACAGAAAAACTCTTCCAATTACCTATTTTTGTCAATCTAGAATACAACTTTAAAAAGTTCTTAATTTACTAACAATTTGGGAACTCAGTTAAGAAAGTTTTGTTATAACCATATACAAAAAACAATTAGCAGTTTATAAAACTCTGGAGTATTCAAAAAGGTACCACTACTTATTAGAAATGCCAAAAAATATAAAACAGCTCAGAGAATATATTTCATGTGAAATAATCAACAGTAAAGACTCACTCTGAATACTTGTGTTATATCTAAAAGTTTGACTTCTTAAAAGAGTAATACATATTTTGTAGACATTTCCAAAATCACAACTAACAGATATCTATAGTGTTTCATGAACAAAAATAGTCACTGTTCACTCATCAAAAAATTTTTAGGTTTGAACCAAATCAGAAATACACACCCATAAAATATTAATGAGCTAACAATAAAAATAAGGTTTTTACTTTTAGTGCATCAATGGGAAGTAGGAATCACAGTGATTTTTCTTCCTATTACTATTGTGTATTTTCAAATTTTCTACAAAGAACATGGCAAACTTCCACAATAAAATTACCTGCAGCTATTTCTTGCTGCTTTTGTTTTTCAACCATTTCCTTTTCTCGCTGTTCCTGTAATTTCTTTGCCCTTTCCAACCTGCAAAAATAATTTAAATAAATTTAACAGTCCTCACTATAACATTATGTATTTTTATATTTGCATTATTC